TAATAGAAAGTGAGAGGAATCCAGTGATACTGCTAATGCGGTGATTGGTCATGGAAAGGGATTCTGGCAGGATAAAGCTAGACTGGTTCCTTATTTCATGTTAACCCTCCTGGGTATATTGTCAGGGTATACTCCATACTATATTGTAAGTGTATACTCCACACAGTCAATATGTAACCCATACCAAGATCAATAATACAATTACACATATTTTCATAAGCTCCAGCTATGAACTGCCTTGATGGCCTGCTGATCTCCCCATTGGATGTGGATGCTTCACTGACCACATGTGGCCCAAAATACAGACATGAGGCTTACTTGTGTGGCCACTCTGATGGACGTAGGACGCTCGTACAAGAATACTCGTGTGGGGTGACGAGACTCCGTGCCTCCCTTTTGCAATGTTATTTCCTCATTTTTTGCATATTACAAAGTATTTTTAGCTTTTTTGCCATTTTCGAGTGTCTATATTTGTTATTTGATTGGCTCTATCCAGATGCTAATAGACTGTTTTCCTTGCATAGAGTCCATATCATCGCCCTAATTATTCATAACTCAGTGTAATAACAATCACAATATGTGTCATTTGAATTTTTTTTATGCAAACTAAACAACAGATATTTTATTTTCAATTTGTGCTGATGAAATAGTTGAAGTATCTTTGATATCACAATTCACCAACACCATATAAATAACTGTCAGTTATGGATCAAGATTGATATATAGCTCTCAGGGAGGAGCTTCTAAAAGTAAAATTAAGATTCTTAAAGTAATCAGGTTACTTCTTTTTAGGAGAAAAAAGAGATAAGTATCTTATATGTACAGGTTTTGTAGGATTAGAATGAAATAATTTGATAAATTACAATAAAAAAAAAGATGTCTGTAAGAAAAGCTGTATTGATTTGATTTAACTAAGATAATGAACATTTTAGAATAAACTTTCTTATTTGCCACTTCTATCTTAACTCAAAGTTGCTGAGAGAATGCTTTGCACATTTTAGAAAATTTTGTGAAATGTCTCTGCACATAGATGGCTCTGCCAGTGTTTAGTATATCTTGTGACCTTACCTAATTTCAGCTTTCCTTGAATTCGCAGGAAAAACATTTTCTTTTATTACTAATGCTGTGAATATCGATGGTGTTATTTTTATTATAGACATTACAATTAATATAATGTTATTCACATTAGTAACAGCAGTATAAGATAATGTAAAATATTTTTGAAAATGAAGGAAAAGGTTGAACAGGCAACGCAGATAGTACTTGCAACTGGCTCATTGAGGACTTAGTACAAGTGTAGCATCTCTGTGTAAAAACAATAAATTAAACTCAGTGGGCATGGCATGTACGTACATGCTATGACCATAGGGTTTGGGTTACTTGTGATGCCTTCAGCAAGTTTTATAAAAACTATATTGGGTGAACGAAAGGAAATACCCATTTATTGGAATAATTTCTCTCTCCACTATGTGTAAAAGATGTAATGCACTTTTTTGAGGCATAAAAACAGTATTTCTTTCATATTGGCAGTCTTATGAAATGAGGGATTGTAATTACTTAAACACATGGCTACTGCTCCCATGGCTTCAGTACTTCCCTTTAGTGCATCACACTTCAAGATGTTCACACTGACAGATTGCTTTATGACAATCTAAGTAGTTGACATGAGGAGACTGATTATGTAAAGCAGGGTGAAGGCTGCTTACAAGGTCACAGCATCTGCAAGAGAATATACTTTTTTGGTTTGTGATATCATAGAGGGATAACAGGTAAATGATTTATTTGCTAAATATTACGCCTTTTATACAAAACAGTAGCCAGTCAGAGTATCACACATCCTCTTCTCCCTCAGGCAATGCCCTATGGCATGTGACTAGTGGGTATAAGGTTACCTTATAAAGAATAGCATTAAATGTAAAGTACGCATCCTAGTAACATGACGTAAATGACTGTCCTCCATAGCCGCAACCAAGTCAGAAATTATTGGAATAGCATGCCTCTGGAGCCACGACTAAGTCAGTTACGGAGTGAAGATCAGACATCATCTGGAGGCAGTGTGTGTAAAAGGGCAAGAAAAGAATAGGTTACACACATTTGGCAATAACTGCCTTGAGAACTGAGTATTTTGTGTGAAACTAGTTAGGAATATATAGACTATAGTGTAATGTGAGAAGAAGGCAATATATGCTTTTGATGGATGGCCAGTGTTACTTAAATTACTTTTCATGGGAGATATTAAATTATTGAACAGTATTATCAAACTGTGGCATTGTAATGAAGTGAACACAGATGTCTAGTATATTATCTGTTTTTCCCAACAGGAAGGCAATCATTAAATGGAGATAGCACAGTTGGAGACTGTTTAAGAATGGGGGACATGGAGCAGTTTGAAGAGCTGCTTCTCAGAAGTGCTCGAAATGGCGACTGCAAGACTGTGGAAGAAATTCTGCAAGCCAGAAAAGACGGCAAAGTCAATTTAGACATAAGCTGCAAGGGTAAG